ACGTCTGTTCTGTACATCTGTGTCTCTTTTTGTCCACAGGGTTTTCCAGGCAAGAATACTGGAGTGGGTCACCATTTCCTTCTCCAGGGGATCTTCCCAACCCAGGGATCAAACCTACATCTTCTGCATAAGCAGGCAGATTATTTATCCCTGAGCCATTTGGGAAGCCCATTCAAACGTTCGAATGTCCAAAATCCAGAGCACTGGCCTCACTGAATGTTGGGGAGGACGTGAAGCAGCAGAAACTCTGGTTCACTGCTGGCAAGGATGCAAAGTGGTACAGCCACTTCTTATAAAAGCAAATATGGAGTTACCATACAATTCAGCATCCACCCCTCTCAGAAGTTATCCAAATCAGGGGGAAACTTACGTCCACATAAAAACATGCTCAGCAATGTTTTTAGTAGTTTTACTCTATTTTTTATTGCAGTATAGTTAATTACATTGTTGTATTAGTTTCTGGTGTTCAGGAAAACGACTGAGTTATACATACATATATATATTCTTTTTCGTATCTTTCTCATTATAATTTATTACAAGATATTGATTACAGTTTCCTGTGCTACACAGTAGGACTGTGTTGTTTTAGCAGCTTTATTCACAATGGGAAGAAACTTGGACGTCCTTCAGTAGGTAAGTGGAGAAATAAACTGTGGTACATACAGATACTGGGAAATTATTCAGCTCTAAAAATAAATGAGCTGTCAAGCCTCCAAAAGACAGGGAGGAACCTTAGGTGCCTGTTTTTAAGTGAAAGTAGCCAATCCGAAGAGGCTGCAAACTATTTGAGTCAACTTCATGCCATTCTGGGAAAGGTGAAACTTGGTGACACTGAACCCTGAAGCTCAGTGAATTGGCTCATCGATTTTAACAATGTGCCATTGTGGAACAAGATGTTAATACAGGGAAGTGTGTGGGGAAGGGTGATGGATAGGGCAACTCTGTATGTCGCACTCAGCTTTCCTATGAACACACATTGCTCCAAAAAATAGTCTGTTTACAAGATCACAACCTTGCAGGTGGGTCCTGCACACCGCACCTCTCTTCCTCTCCTCTTGGGAAGCCTTGATGGCAGGTCTCTTCCCAGATGTTTCTGAAGGTCCCCTGGCGGCAGGACTGAGAGTGATGTCAGACAACGGAAGCAGCTCAGCTCATCATGTCAGTGTGTGAGCCCAAAGACCAACACAGCTGTGATCAAGTCCCCATGTTTAAATTGAGGGGCTGGACCATGCACAGAGTGTGTGACCCCGAGGCTCATAAGTCCCAGCTCCGGGCCCTCCCAGCTCCGGGCCCACCTGAGGGCTGAGTCGCAGTATGGCCCGAGGGAGGCATTCTCAGAGGCGAGGGGGCCCGGGTCTCCGCACTCACTTCTCCAGGACAGAGCGGGGAGCGCTTCCGCAAGGCAGACCCAGTGGAGCTCAGCCCTCGTCCTCCGCAGGGGCAGGCCGGCTCTGAGTCTGGCTGCCCGCCCGCCCGCAGAGTCCCGGCAGGACGCTGTCCTGGCAGCCGCTGCTTCCCCGTTTGGCAAAGCACAGGATGGGCTTGTGTCCTCATTAGCCTGAGGAGGACCATCTGAGAGTCTCCTCCCCAGAGGACCGTCTGGGGAGGGAGGCTGATCCCATCCAAAGGACCGCCTCTGGGAGCAGCAGGCGTCCTGAGAGGCTCCCTCCGTGCCGAGGGGGGCGCCGGTCAGGAGGGGCTTCAGCTCTGCCAGGAAGTGGGACTGCCTGACCCCCCCCCCAACCCGCCCTCTGAGCCTGGGGGACCCCCAAGCCTCGAAAGGGGCAGAGGTGAAGCCGGAAAGGAAAGACACCCCGGCCCCGCCCGCTGCTGCCCAGCGCTCTGTCTGCAGTCAGGCCCTCCTCGGACTCACCCTCCCTGCCGCCCAACCTCAGGCTCAGATCTGCAGGAGAGACCTTTGAACCTAAGGGAAGTGGGGCGCTTTGCCATCCGAGTGCTGGGCTTTTTCATAGCTGGAAAGGAGAGCATCACCAGCAGAAGGCCCAGGACTGCCGGCCGCGTGCAGGGCTGCAGTTAAGGGAGCTTTGCCCTAATTCATCCCCCTCATGGGGCAGGTCACTTATGGTTGAAAATAGGAGAAGCTGGAAACCACCCGGGGCAAATGAGCAGGTCAAGCAGGTCCCTGACCTGTCCTGAGGCCCAAGCGCAGACTGCCCACGTTGGCCTGGGCGGCACAGAGCCCAAAGTGGGGTCACAGGGGCACTCCCCCAAGGCAGTACGTCACCGCTGTATACTTGAAAAATGTCTGTGAAGGCTTTCCAGGGCTGGTATTTGGTTTTATCTTCACCATCATTTTCAGAAGTAGGCTGAGCACATATTAGGAATTCCACCACAAAGCCTGGGAATCTAACTCAATCTGACGTTACAAGCACATGTGGGGCACCCACTCTGTGCCGCAGGGCAGCCAGGGTGCTGTGGCACCCAGAGGCCAGGATGCCCTGCGCCTACAGGAACCTGCTTCCAGGAAACCAGGAGGCATGCGCCAGGGTCCAAGCTTCGGAGAGTGCTCCCTGCCACCTCAATCCCCCAGTCACAGAGACTTGCAGTGACAGCATCTTTGACTCCCCCGGCTTTTTTAGCAGGAGGAAGAAGTAAACTTTTTACTGAAGTCTAGTCTCCCAGCTTTCAAAGGACGCAAAAAGAGGGACACAGGTGACCGCTACGTGTCTTTGTAGGTTCGAGTTAAACGTGCACCTGAGGGTGGGGGCATGTCCCCTCCCCCCAAGCAGATCTAGAGGGAACAGAAGGACCGGGTGGCCTCAGTGTCACATGGTTGCGAAGCTTCTATCCCCCTTTGAACAAAGTGTAAGGTAACAGCATGGCACGTATTTCTGAAGCAATTTCACTTGCTCCTGATTGCAAGCAGGCCTGCAGCTTCCCTCACTGAATAAGTAGGTTTCCAGGCTTCTGGCATGCGGGGCCAGCACACCAGGAGCCAGCCAGCTTCCACCAACGGACAAAGTTCAGCCTGGACACCCAGGGACGCAGCAGAGTGGGAGTGGTGACAGGCAAGGAGGCAGGAGGGCAGGAAAGGCAACTGAAAAGTGTCTCACCAGCTCGGCTCCTCCTGGGGCCTCGGAACTCAGGCGAGCAGGTGCCAGGGCCCACGTGGCCCTGGTCGGGAGAAGCCCAGGAGCGGGAGGCATGGGTTAGGTCCTGGAGACCAGGGCTGGAGCAGGGACCCAGGCTTCCGCAGGCATCAGCACAACTGCGCCAGGGGGCTGCCATGCCTCAGGGTGCCAGTGCCAGGGCTCTAGAGCCGGGACCACCCGCCCCACCGCATCAGACACCCACAGAGGAGCCCCTCTCCCCACCAGCCCTGAGGACACACAGACCCTCCCTGCAAGGGGAAGTGGAAAAATTCCTGAAAGAAGGGACATTCACCCAGGTGAAACAGTAACCTTCAAATGACACATATAAGTACCACCCAGCCCATCATCAATTTTGAGTAACAGCCAGTCAGAATATAAAGAAACGTGTGCTGTGCATTCGCAATGTGTTAACATTTTCAGTCCTGTATGAATCAGGAGTGAAGACTGTTCTTCAGGCCCTCAGGCCTCCCATGCTGACCCCCTTCCTTACACAACCCTGGCCCTCAGGCTTCTGCCCAGGCGCTCCGTGGAGACTCCTGCCCTGCCATCCTGTCTCTCACTCTCTTTCATTTACACATTCACTTCTCTGGGCCCCTCCTCCTCCCATTTGTCTGCATCTTGTGCTTATCACAGTTTTTCTCCACATCACATTCCCCCGTTTGTGGACCACAAACTCCTACAGAGGGAGACACTGTGTCTTGCCTGCACCTGAGGCAGCTAATGTTTACAGCATGGTATTTACATTCGGATAAATGGTCTACATTCTCAGCAGCCCTCCAGGTGAGGGGCAGGTGTCAGCTTTCTCATTTACAAGGGCACTTGGCCCAAAGTTCACGGCTTGTCCAGCTTCAAATAGTGAGTAAAAGAAACGTCTGTCAGTTGGATCCAGAATGGTTAAGTTTCCAGATCCCAAGCTGCATACCCCGAGTCCAGAGCCTGTCTCTACTACTGATCCCACCAGACAGAAGAACAGACGATAGTGATAATGACCAACAGACGACAGACTGATAGATCCATAGATGATAGGCTGAGGACAGAAATACAGATGAAAATTCTCGGCTTCATTTTTCATTTCTAGAGCTTTTCCATTTGCTGAGTAACAACCAGCTCTTAGTCTCGGCTGCTCCTTGCGAAGTTCTGAGGCAGGTGCGGGGTCTCAGGCCCGGGCAGCCCCTGCCCAGCGCCCAGCTCTGCGGCCCGGAGCAGCTGCGCGGTTGGGGGGGGAGACAATGACCTGCCCAGCTTGACGCGGGTCTGCCCCCATCGGGACGCCCTCCAAGTGCCTTCGGATTTTTCAGTTGCCCCAACCGACCCACTTGCCCTTTCTGCCAATTTCTCGGGGGTCTTTAGTTTAACACGGAGGACACAGTAGGTGCAAAGGCCGGGAGCCCGGGTCTCCGATAAGGTGGGTCGCTCCAGAGTCGCTCTCCCCTGGCGTCCCCGCTGGCAGCTGGGCCGCGCAGGGAGCCCACTTGTGCGCACCCGTCACCCGCGGCTTGGAGGCGGGGGAGGGAGCGAAGGATGGGGGTCACCAGGGAGGGGCCAGGGGCGCGGGGAAGGGGGTACAAGCGGCTGGGGGCGGACCGCCGAAGGGAGTGCGGGTGGCTGGGGGCAGTTGCGGGACGTGGGGCGCGGCGGAGACCCAGGCGGCGAAGCCAGAGCGAGGGGAGGGAAGAGACGGAGAGGCGGGGTCGGGGGGCGCGGGGTGGGGACGGAGTCGGGGGAGGGCGCGGGGGCGGAGCCGGGGCGCCGTGCTCAACCTCCGCCGACCGCCGACCCGGAGACGGCTGCCGGGCTCCGCGCACCGACCTCGGAGCTGGGAGCCGACCCCCGGGCCGCTTCGCTGCGCACGGGCGGCCCGGCCCATGTCCACGCAGCGGAGCCGGGATGAGGGCGCCCGCGCTGCTGCCGCCCGCGCTGCTGACCTGCTGCGGCTGGCTGCTCGCCCCGGTGAGTGCGCTCGGACCCGCGCCCTCACGACCCGCGGCGCCGACCCTCTCTGGAGGGAGCGCCCCGGGCTCCCGGCTTTACTGACCCTCCGGGTCCCGCGCGGGGCTGGGCCGAGGCGCGGGGATCTGGGCTGGTCCCGGGGCGCGGGGATCGGGGCTGGTCCCGGGGCTCCACCCGCCCTCCGAGCTCGCTGGACGGAGCAGGCCTGCCGGGGACTCTGGACTCACCCTCAGAGCGCGAAGAACCGAAGCCCCAGCCCGGCCCGGTGTAAGACCCGGCCGGGAAGGTGCGTTCGCTCGGTCTGCTCCGCCGTCCCGGGTTTGCTGAGAACAGAACCCAGTGCCTTGCTGGACGTCCCTCCTGGCGGAGCAGGTCCGGGGCCGTGGCGCCCCCTCTGGAGCTGGGGACGGGGCTGCGGTCACCTGCGCAGGCTTCTCCTTTCCGAGGGAAATTGGAGTTTGCCTTATCATTAAATACTTCCCTTTCCACCTGCTAGTTCCGGTCTCGTTTTTTGTTTGTTTTAGTGTGTGTCAGGGAGACGTGATGTGGCTAAACAAAGTTTCCTTTTGGAAATAGCCTGCTGTGATTTTGTTACCATTATTTAAGCGCACCGGAGGAGGTCATATGCTGAGTGGAAGTTTGTTGAATGAATGCATTTATAGATTATTTAACTCTCGACAATTCTTCCTCTTATATGAAGACCCTTAAACCGCAAGCCCGATTTCCTGCTTCTCTCCCGCAGCCTGGAGCCAGTTTGGGTGTACGCGCTTGCGCTTACGCAGTTTACACCGCGGCCAGATCACCGTCTCTATTGACTCATAGCCCCTCTTAAGGTTGCGAAGCCAGGGATGGAGCTATTTAGGGAATGTCGTCCGTGCTGAGGGTGTTTCCCCTATGCACCTAGCCCACCCCTCAGCGGCGCCAACCCCTCCTCAGAGTGAAGGCGAACCGTGGTTTCCTCCCTCAGAGGAATGCTGTGGGAATGAGAGCCAGCCTGCTAATTTCATTGAGTGAAAGACCTACAGGGATTGTTAAGCTTAATGCTGCTTTAACTTATAGGGTATCCCAAAATAAGGCATCACTGTGCATATTCCAAGAATGTCTGGTATTATAATATCTTTTAGTACTTTATCAAAAATCCATTTTTTAAGTCAATACAATTTTCCTAATTCTGACATTTAAGTTATTGACTTGTTAATGTATGAAAAATACAACCTGCTTGAAACCAGGAGCTTGTACAGTGGTGGTTGCCCTGTGATGAGGCATGGGAGAAAAAAACAAAGACCAAACTTCACATCTTTTTTTTTTTTTAATGAGGGTAAATGTGGCAAAAGCATTCAGCATTAAGTTTCTGCTCTTAACACTGTTGTGTACATGCTCAGCTGTGTCCCACTCTTTGTGGCTCTGTGGACTCTAGACCACCAGGCTCCTCTGTCCCTGGGGTTTCCCAGGCATTCTTGGAGACCTGGGATGGGAGTGGGTTGCCGCTTCCTCCTTCAGGGGATCTTCCAAACCCAGGGATGGAACCCGAGTCTCCTGCATCTCCTGCCTTGGCAGGCAGATTATTTGCCACTGAGCCACCTGGGAAGCCCCTTAATACTGTCGGGAAATGTTATTTCTGGTTAGAATTCTATTGACTTATTTCAGTGGTAGGATAACTAAACATGTGAGCATGTATGCTAAGTCGCTCAGTCATGTCTGACTCTGCAGCCCCATGGACTGTAGCCCGCCAGGCTCCTCTGTCCATGGGGATTCTCCAGGCAAGACTACTGGAGTGGGTTGCCATACCCTCCTCCAGAGGATCTTCCCGACCCAGAGACCAAACCTGTCTCCTGCATTGCAGGCAGAGTCTTTACTCCTCAGCCACCAGGGAAGCCCAATTAAATATAGATGGCCATAATATATGCAAGAGCATGATTCTTTTCAGTAAAAACAAAGTTTTGTTCAGACATGAGAGTGGGGGACACAGCTCCAGCCTACCATGTGAGTACTTATCAGGGATTGGAGATGGTAATAAAGAGAATGCTGGGCCTTTGTGAAAATATAGACCAGAGAATATTACCTTCCAAGACTCAAGCGTATTCAGCTTTGTCTTTTGCACACATTGACAGAACAGTGTTAATCATATCTTCGGTTCCATCATCAAGCCTGACGCGAAGTCCCCGCTGCCTCGGGGCTGTGACTGCCCCAGGCCTCTCCCTGCTCACCACTCATCTTTTTGAAAAGTTTGTTCATACCAGATTCCAAAGTTCAGTTTTGAATGTGACCTGCAGCCTCTAAAAATAAAGTTATTCTATTAGGGCTTTCCAGTGAATGCAGAGGCTGGCCTTAGATGAAGCACGCTGGCGTCTGGGGTTGTGTGCAGCCATTAAGAATGGGCTGATGAGTAAACATGTATTTACTTTGATTAAATCAAGGGCTATGAAATGGAGGACTCGAATATTGAAAGATTATTGGATTAAAGAGCTTTATTGCCGCCAAATTAGTACTGACAACATACGATGTATTGCGTTAGGCAGTTTGCTTTCCTGCCCAGAAGAAAAATTATATCAAGTTTCTTATTTGTTTATTAATTCCTTTACAAAGTAAATAGTGAAGCTTTTTTTAAAAAAAAAATAACCATGCCAAAATATGAAGGCTATTGCTTTTAAATAAGTGTTAGTTTGGAAGCAGTTTAGAACTGTGAGATTTAGGGGCTTTTATGTAGAGTTTTTGCTTGCCTTTCCTATTACAGTGGAATTTTCCCTTTCTTTTAACCATGACCAGGTGAGCAGTATTCACCCAGAATGCCGATTTCATCTGGAAATTCAGGAGGAAGAAATGAGATGTGCAGAGCTTCTAAGGACTCAAACAGAAAAACACAAAGGTAAGGCAGATAGATGCTTGGTGAGACTCTCCCTGGGATGGACAGGCGGACTTGCAAGCAGCTTGCATCTCACTCAGAAAACTGGTGTTTACAGTCACTTGTGTGTGTGTTTTTTTTTTTTAAGTCTGCTTTCACTGTTTTTCAATGAACTGCTGGCAAAACTCCTATAGCATTGTGCATAATGGGCCGTGGGGCAAGTGTGTTGGGAAGGGCAGAGGGGAAGGGGTCCTTCACATAAACCTTTTACCGTAATAGTTTCCATAATTTGAGACAATAGCAACAGTTATAAAATAATTTGTGACGGTTGTTACGCTTTGCAAAGACAACTCCTTTTCCCGTGGAATGACTATTTATCTGATTTCTTGCATTTTAAATCCTTAGTTACATCACAGATGATTTGGATACAGTTAAGAATGGTGGGAATTTATCAGAAATCAAACAGGGAATTGAGACTTTTGCTTTCTTGAAGAACAGACCAATTATGAGTACAGTCAGCTTACTGACTATTTCTCCCAGAAGCAAAGCTGGCGTGATGCACTCCAGCCCTGGGTACCGTCTCCTGTTTGTAAACTCCGAAGGTTCTGGGATAACACCCAGGTCATAAACAGTGGCAGAAACTTCTTGTCCTTCAGCTTTCTTTTTCTTTGTTCTGTGTCATCATTTTATTCTCTTCAAGAAAGAAATTAAAATCAAAATACAGCCATGTGTTACGAGTCTGGTGTCTTGCAGAGGACCACCAGCGGGAAGTCCCAGGTGTGGGTGTTGTTCTAGATCGGTACTTCCCAGTAGAAGCAGGATGCAAGCCTTATGGGCAGCTTGAGTTTTCTAGTGGCCATGTTAAAATAAGTGACAAGAAACTTAGGACTTTGACAATGGTTTTATTTATCCAAATATGTCCAAATCATTATTTTTCCAACTTGTAATCAATATAAAATATTGATGAGAGATTCTGCTCTTTTTGTATATTGTCTTGGAAACCCAATATGCATTTCGCACTTAGAGTGCATCACAATTTGGACCATACATTTCAGGTATTCACAGGTGGTCTGCACCCAGAGGGGTTCTAAACGGGTTCTAAAATAGCTCTCCTGGGCCCTTTCCTGTCTCCCTGGACCCTCCCCTTCCTCAGCTGAAAAGACGAGGACCCTGGCCCAAGGGCTCCTTCCGGCCTTTGAGATCTGTGGCTGTGCAGTGCACACAGCATCCTGAGAGCCATTCTTCCAAAAGGCCTGGTTGTCCTGTCCAGAGGAAGGCGAAACCGGTGGCTCAAATGCGGACTCAGGAGCTGTCCTGTAAAAGCCTCGTGTGATCGCTAGCCAGCTGCCAGAATCCGTGAAGCTGGGTCTTGCCAGTCAGGTCAGCTTCAGGACAAGACAGCTGCCACAGCCACTGGGGTCTGTTCTTTCGGAGAAAATTAAGAGACTCAGGGGAGCTAAACACTGAGAGGAGACATGCCGAAACTTTAGAAGCATCTAGTCACAGCGGGGAGCAGGTCTGGTCAGCGCAGCACACGGTCCAGGCCTCCCTCGTGGAGAGCGTGGGCGCGTTCCGTCCACCGCATCTGCAGGGGTGACCCTCGGCCTCTGCCCCCTCACGCCGTCATCACTGCACTGTCAGGTTGCTGGACTCCGAGGCTGCTCACATCTGGCATCCACCCCCTGGCATTGACTGGGGGCAGCTGTGAACAGAACCCCTTCTTCTCACGGGGCGTCGGCCAGCATTCAGAGGGCAGGCCGAATGCCTCCAGGTCCTGCAGCCCTCATCGGGTACGCTGCCAGCCCCCAACCACAGGCTCTCAATACAGCAGGCACTCCTGGCGCGGGAACCGGGGAGGATGCGACCCCTGACACAGGGGCAGACTGAATTGGAGCCAGTTTATCACCACAGATAAACACTCGGCCCCTCCCGCCTCGCAGTCACCAGGGCGGCCCCCCCTCCCACGCCTCGCTGTCTGCTCTGTTTGGGGGTGGCTCCTGAAATACCAGCTAGTGTTTCCTCCTGAACACTCCTCATCTCCCACACTCACCAAGAGCGTGCTGCTGATGAGGGAGAGCTGGCCCAGCAGGAGGCAGGGAGCATTCATTCCTGGGAGACGGGCTTTGGCCGTGACTTTCCCTCATGGAGACGCCTCCCAGCTGGCCAGGGTTATTGGGCGTGGGGAGGGGTGCCTTCAGGTCTGTGCCCACGACTCACCCTGACGGACGCGGGCCCAGGAGAGCAGGGTGAGCAGGAGAGCAGGGTGAGCAGGAGGCGTGGTCCTCAGCCAGCTCTCTTTCATAAAAAGACCTCCCCTCTGGTTGGACCAGGTGGATGGAGCGTGGCCTTAAGCAGTGTGACAGCTCACGAGTGTGAGCCGGGGCTGTGCAGCTGAGTGGGGTAACATTTGGCCACGGGGCCTTGGGAATGTCCCTCGCCCCTGCTTGTTGCTGTGAAGAAACGCGGGCACCAAAACTCAGAAATGCAAACTTGAGGTCCCTGTCATTCAGTCACTCAGTGGTGTCCAGGTCTTTGAGACCCCATGGACTGCAGCACACCAGGCCTCCCTGTCCTTCACCATCTCCGGGAATTTGCTCAAACTCACATCCGTTGAGTTTGTGAAAATATTCCAGTTCTTAAAAGTTTGCAACGAGTACTTTTTAAAACATTCTATGGGAGCAGGCGGACCTGCTGTGCGGATGCTGCCTGAGCTGCCAGGCTGCTCTGCAGGGACCACGGGCCAGGCCGGCCCTGCTTGGAGAGCTGCTCATGGTGCGGAGATGGGCCAGGGTGTTTAACGCACTCCTCGGGCTCAGCCCTCGCAGGCTCTGCTGTCTGGCTCCGCGTTCCTCAGAGGGACCTCACGGGGCCCACTGGACGTGCTGCTGGGAACGTGGACGGCACGGCCTGTGCAGACTTGGTGTCGGCCCGAGCAGAGAGGACGTGGGCGAGGGAGAGGAGGGCCCTCCCGTTTGGCGTCGGGGGAAGGTCTTTCTGCAATGACAAGCGCCAGTCCTTCAGTGTTTTCTTTACCGCAGGCTCTCATTTCACTGTTAGCTCGAGAGGAAAACCACCTGCCAGAGTGCTCTCACCCTGGCTCACGGGAAGAGCCTGCAGCAGCGCTCTGCCCCCAGAGGGGGAGGCCAGCCAGGGAGCCTGCCTGGCACCCCGCTTCCTGCAGAGAGAAGCAGCTTGTGTTCCGAATTCCCATCTTTTCCTTGTTGCTCTTTGAAATGTGTGTAGCTCGAATACGAAGGATATAAATAGGAATGAGTTACCAGAATAAAGATACTACAGACGAGGTAAACCGGGAGCTGAGCGAAGGCCTCCTCGCCGAGTGGGATGAGATGGACTCCAGTATCCACAGTGAACGTCAGAGCAGACACAGGGTCTGTAGAAGCTGCGAGAAAGCGGCGTGAGACAGCACCCGAAATGGCAAAAAAAAACAACAACTAGTTTTCAATTCTGGTGACGTAATTTGTGTAAGTCTAAGAAGGAAACCCTTTTATTACATGTTGGATCTAAAACAAACACAAACAAACCAACACAGAAATGTAGACAAAAACCAATTTCAGTTCTAAACCTCTTTAATGGATTCACTTTGTAAAAAAGAAAAGTTTAGGAGGTATTTAGAGCTTTGAGACTTAATACTGATTCAGCATGAAGACTGACCTAGTCCTGCCCGTAAGGCTCAGGCCACAGACGCCTGGAAAACAGCTCACAGCCGCTCTGTCCCCGCCCACACCGCCGACCATGGGGGGCGGCCCTGAGTCAACGCTCCTCTCTGCCCGTGTCCCCACCTGTGCCCGGTCTCCTGGGACCTTCCCTGTGACTTTGCATCATTTTTGCCCTCATTTTGGGAGGGGGAGCAGGGCAGCTCCACGGTCTGAGCTGTGTCTTGAAGGTTCGTGGCTGTGGAGGCTTTGAGGACAAGCGGTAGCTTAAACCAGGGCCCCAGGCGGGGCTAGACTAGCAAGCTTCCCGCTTTTGACTTCTCTAAACAAAGGATACTCGGCTGATTTTGATTCACTCTTCGAAAGCCATGGCGGGTTTGGGTTTGCGCCCCTTCGAGCTCACGGGCGGTCCTGGCCCATCCTGGGCACCTGCAGAGGGTGCAGGGCCTGGCAGGTTGGTTGTCGGAGACGGCTGCTCCAGGCAGAGCGGGCTGTGGGTGACATGCTCTCACTCCCATGGGTGCCCTTTACCCTGAGCCCCACGAGCTGCCGAGGAAGGCCCGGGGCGGTGTGTCCTGCCTGAGGAGCGTGAGCTGGGGCACCCTGCGGTCACAGGAGATGCGGGTGTGCCCGCCCGTCCTCCGCCCCACAGAAGACGCCCTCTGGTTATGGCGATCAGCCCCAGGGCCCCGCACCGTCTGCCAAGCCCACTGCCCCACACTCGTCCTCAGGGAGGGTCTGGAGCAAGGCTGTCCGTGCCCCTCCCAAGGCGCATCCATGCCGTCTGCCCAGCTCAGGGGCGAGTCCCTGCAGGGTGGCCGTCCGCGGCCTCGGGCAGCGGCTCCCGTGTGTGCTGCTGGCCCCTCTGCCGCGCGGTCCGCTGTCCCTGCAGCCACAGGTCCTGCCCGGCACGTGGTGTTGCCACCCTCCTGGGGATGGCCAGGTGTGCCCTGTGGTGTTCCGGGCCAGGCCCCCTCTGCGCTCGCCAGCCTCCCAGCACCAAGGCACCTGCCATGGGGCCATCCCATCTGCTGACCCAGAAGCAGGTGTGCAGACCCCAGCTGGTGGCAGACGGAAGGCCCTGAGCGTCCTCTCTCTGGACAAGGGAGAGGGACGTCCACCCAGCAGGCACAGGGCATCCCAGTCTTGATGCTTGCAGGAGCCTCAGCCACCTCCCCAAAGTGAGGACACAGGAGAGGACCCCCAGTCTCTCGCCCAAGCTGGTGGCAGAGCCCGGCTCCCTGGACCCTGAGCCCAGCGCTCTTCATAAAACTGTACTTGGCACCTCAGTGAGAGAGGTGTGCTTCAGACCAGGGTTTTCTTCCCTCCCAAGCCTGCTTCAAAGCTGAC